ACTTACCCGTCAGGAGGAAAGAAAAGACTCCAAGGATATGCAAGACTATCTGGCTTATGGGTTATTGCATTTGCAGGAAGCATTACTAAGCATGCGTCTTTATATTCAATTTCATTAGCAGTCATCATTAGTTCATTAACTACCATTCTATGTAAGCACCTATGCTACTTTCAAGCAGGTGGTAAGCAATCAGAACCATTTTTTCATCTTTCATATCTCAGTTCTTACTACGGTGCTAGACTGTAGACAAGTCATACTAGATTACCCGGTGATTCGCAAATCAATGTGTCCAGCTGGGTACCCCGAAACACACGTCCCGCTTGTACCCAGGCACAAGCAGGACCAACCCACCACTCTCCTGTCAAGGGGTCTAGGTCCCCGTCCAAACTTGAACTCCAAGCCCCCACACCTGAGTCTCGGACTCAGTGTGGTGTTTAACCGACATAGATGAAACAAGTGCAATCCGAGTCTTGCTCGAATGCCTAACCAAGTCCAGATCTAAAATACCATTCCGTCCGGTCTCCAATTATCATTTATATATATTCCATGGGATAGTAATATAATAACAACGATAATATCTTTCCTATCTCTCGCTAGTGACAGGCAATCACTCGACTTCTACCGGAGCCCTGTAGCATAGCAATCTACACGATCTTGTCATACTAGTAGTACTCATAGGTATGCAAGTGGGTTTCATTCAACTCCTTAAACTTAATGCACAAGCATAAATTAAAGTGCAAAATAATAGAGGTTATACACCGGAGTTTGCTTGGATAAGATTTACTCAAAGATTAGCACTCCATCATAGTGACACGATCACCAAAGCACCAGCTTCTCTGCTACTCTGGTCGACTCCATGGTCCATCGTTGGCCCTATTATGATATTCGCGGATGCAACGTGGAAACGTAAATAATCAAGACAATCGCAACACGGAGGTTCGATTCCGCTGCTAAGCTAATGAGCTGGCCCTAATGACTAACGTACTACGCTACGTATTCATGTTATTGACAAAGCGCTATTTTACCACAAGTGTTTTAGTTATACCCTTTCAAAGCGTTTCTTTATTTCGTTTAATATATATATTCGAACTAGGGCTCATTAGCTATCCTAGCAAAATAATTATTCTGGAGCTACCAAAAATTTACAGAAAGCACAATAATATTGTGAAGCTACTGTAAAATTTTCAAAGGTAACACTATCATTATTTTGCCACAAAAATTCCTACAAATTCATACTTTAATAATATTAGAGCATGTTAAAATATTTAAGGCAACCGTGAAATATTTTAGAACCCTATGAACCAAACACACTAGCAGATAGATCATGATTTTAGAAACTGAAAAAAATTAGTTTCACAATTTTTGGTCAACTACACAAATTTCTACGAGATTTATAAGTTTGTTTTTTAGTATTTACATAAAAAATGCTTTAGAACGAAAAAGGACCCGCAGCCACCCCTTTCTGGCCCAGCAGCCAGGTTTGTCCCAAGCCGTGCGCGACAACGCGCGACGCAACGGCCCAGCGACGGCCCAAGGCCTGGGGGCCCACGCGCGCTGACGATTTTGCAGGAAAGCCCTCGATCTAACAACTTATCGCATGTCGTCAAACACACTATTGTAGCAGAGACACACTTCGCAGCTAGCACCCTACAAAACCTCGTCTTAGCAACAGCCATACCACTAGGCGTGGGCGCGCGATGGCGTGGCGGCCGGCGGCAACCTACGGTTGCATCGAGCAAACAGGGCATATTTCGACCCGCCCAAAGGGCCGATCACCACTTATGGTACACACAACGGCGACGGGTAGCAGTGGGATATGGGGAGATGCCCTAAGATACGATGCAGCGGCAGGCATCGATCCATGGCAATGGCACAATCATCCTAGCGAGCGAGGAGGATGGGGAAGGAAGGGAAGTGGTGCGCGGGCATCAGTGCCATACCACGAGTATAGCCGAGGTGTCGGTAAGAAGGGAGAGGGCCTGGAGGAAGTTGGCCACGAGCACGCGGCGATGAAGGCGGCCTCCCGAGTCGTCATGGCCACGTCAGCCTACCTCCGATGAACCCAAGGCGAGCACCGACACAAGGGGGTCAAGGTACATCTGTAGCTAACTTGAATCGAACTAAGACTAAGTGTAGGGACTTACCACCACACGTGCTATACCGCGTCGACGAGTTGACCGGTGACGAGTACAACACCAAATTGGCGATGGCCAAGGCTCGTCCAGCTTGAGGAGAACAACACCGTCAAGCCTACTGCCTAAACCACCCACGATCACGAAGCTTTGTGCTGCGGAACCTGATCTGGGCGATTAGGAGGAGAGAAAGAGCGGCGGCTCTACATACGGCGCGGAAGGAAAGGTCACCCGAGTGAACCGCGTGACTTAAAACAGGACAAGACCGACCGGGGAAAGCAGCACGCACACGTGAGCACAGTCGGGAGACGGGAAGGTTTGGCGTGGCGTGTATGAATTTGAGCGGCCAGAACCGGATAGAGTTCGCCGCCGTTGGCTAGTGAGTAAAGGCGAGGCAGCGAGGTGTCCATCATCACGGTGACCGGGACCCGATGACCACGACACGGCGGCAGTGGTATATGTCCAAGGCTAGACACGGTAGGTAGGTCAAGAGGTAGAGCGAGCGCCACAGGAGCCTTGTGACGCCGACCATTGCCTCCTCACGCCCCGGCGCCCAACACGGAAACCAGTCACCATCGATGGCGCGCGCTCACCATGGCAACAGGGCCAGGACACGCAAGGCCTAGGCAGCAACGCACCGGCCAGCACACGAGCTGCCAACGATCACTGCCCAGCCACGGCGGAAGCCCCGCACCCGCAGCACCCCCACGCGCACGGCAACCCTGACCTATGGTTCTGAACTGAGGAACGATGCCACACACTCTTTTGAAAGCGGTTAGAAAACCGCTTACTAAAGCGACGAAGGCTCAACCAACTACACGAACCTAAAGTCCACACCACCAGCTATCCAGCGAAGCAATCGTCGAGACTAAAGAGCGACTAGAGAGGGAGAGAGGAGGATGCCAAGGTGGTCATGTCACTTGAGCACTGGATCACGAGCAGAGCACCGGTGACAAGGTTCTAGTGTCTTCTGATCGAAGTTTGGGCAATTTTTAAGAGTTCAAGTTGACCTCCAACTCAACTACAACCTACACCTTGCCCAAGTGCTAAGTTAGAAGCAACCACTGGGGCAAGAACATGGACGTAGTGCTTAACCATTTTTGTTGGAAATCAAATACCAAAATGGCATTGTCTATCATCGTTATAGACTTAGAAAGGACGAGAGTCCTGCTTGAACTAAACAACCATTAACACCTTTGATTGAATTTTAAAAAGGTCAGAACTTCGTCAATTTCAACTAGACAACATGTCATCACCTAGTCCATACTTCGTACTAACTCGTGGGAACAAAATATTAAATCACTCATTAAGTATTTTGCACATTATAATTCTTCAAAAATGACACTTTCTAATTATAAGCTATGTCACATTTTCATTTACAACAATCGTTTTCATGCCGAACATCTAAAACCACCTATCCTATTTTTCTTAATAGAATTTCATAAGCACGTTTACACATTAATTGAACTAACTCGCAATATCCCGTTTGCTTCTCTTCTCATAAAAATGAGACCTACAATTTAATTATCTTTTCTTGGAAGTTTAAAATTTTTTAACACCCGAAAACTTGTTTTGTTAATTTCTTTTAGGGGTTAATCTAAGTACTAAGCAAGATCGTAACACCAGAGGTGTTACACCTTCGCCGCTGGCAGAGTTGCCTGCCGGAGGCCTGGCGGGTAGTGAGGACCACAGTAGTGGGGCATGTCGCTGGTTTAGTTGTGCTAATAAGCGACTTTAGTTCGGTTAAAGTCTTAGTATTGAATTGAAGTCATTCTGAGGATTGTGTGGCCCCTCTAGCCCTGTGGTTTTTGGGCTAGAAGGTTTCCACTCAAAAAATTTAGCTAGCACTTTGTTTGTATTTTCTGGTTTCAATAAAACTTGTGGTAAAACTTTAAAAAACTTGGCTATTCTTTGCAATAAACTTGTGGTAAAACCTTTAGTGTCCTTTGTGAAAAAAACTAAGGGCCTCTTTGGATTGCAGGATTCTTTCCCGTTTCCTACGTTTTTTGTGAAAATAAACTAATTTATGTGAAATTCCTTCATAATTCATGCAAAATTCGTGCGTTTTGATGGGGCCCTAAGGCATTATACATTCATCGGACCATGGATATGGGTAGTTGCCTTCAATTAAGCATCAGTCTCTCAACCAGTAATAAGTGAGATACATCTCATCAGTAACTAGAAAGGCAATTAACTTTTCACAAGCGCGCCTTGCAAGTGTAGTTCCTTGCATGATTTGCATCTACTACGTAGTACATACATATGCTGTACATGCAGATGAAGACATCGATTAGCCTAACCCCATGCATCCAAGTGTTGGAAGGTAGCTCATCATCATCTCAGGGGAGCGCCCTGAGCACGACCTGCGCACCGTGCTCCGGCTGCAGCATGCCGTGGGGAAACGGCGCGTGCGTGTAGGCCGGCGAGAGCTGGAACGCGAAGCGCTGCAGGACCATGGAGAGCCCCATCTTGGCCTCAAGCAGCGCGAAGCTCTGGCCGATGCAGGTGCGCGGTCCCCAGCCGAACGGGAAGAACGCCGGCGCGTCCCTGGACGCCTTGGAGATCCCCTCGGCAAACCTCTGCGGCCTGAACTCGCTTGCGTCGGGACCCCACACGTCCTTGTCGTGGTGGATGTACAGCAGCGGCAGCATCAGCATCACGCCTGCCGGGTACCTGACGCCGCCGAGCTCCATCGGCTTGTACGTCTGCCGTTGGACCGCCGTCAGCGGCGTGTACAGACGCAGTACCTCGTACAGCACCATTGTCACCTGCATCACAATTACACAAGTCACTCATACGCCCCAACATAAAGACCGGTTAGAATGTGCCGCCGATCGGTCGGTGAATATATCAGCCTGCACTGCTTACGATTCTGAGGCGACTGAGGCCATCGTAGTCCGGCGTCTTGTCACCGAAGACGTGTAGCACCTCCTCCCTGGCCCGGTCCTGCCACTCCGGGTGCATGGAGACCACGATCATGGTCCAGGTGAGCAGCACGGAGGTGGTCTCCATGCCGGCGAAGTAGAACAGCTTGCACTCCCCGATGACGTCGTCGGTGGTGATGCCGGCCTTGGAGTTGCCGTCACCCCTGCAGTGCTCCATGTTGGACTCCAGAAGCAGGCCAAGGAGATCTTCGCTTGCCGCGCTGCCGGTTCCCAGCGCGTTCTCTCTCTTGGCGATGATGCCCTTGAGGAGCGCTTCGATCTCTGAGGCGATCTGCTTCATCCTTCGGTTGGTTTTTGTAGGCAGGTACCTGCGCGCGAAACGCTTTTAATTTAGCACTAAGCATGGTGCGAGCAATAATGCGAATTGAATTTCTCATCTTGAACTGGGAAGCAGCCAATCAGGAGACCAGGAGTTGGAAAGAAGAGCTCACAAGTATCCAGGGATGTGAAGCTTGTGCATGGCCTGAACGACGAGCTGAACCTGCTCCCCCTGAAGCTGGAAGATCCTCCTGCCTTCCAGGTAGCTGCTGCCGAATGCGGCGCGAGAGATGACATCCCCTGTCAGGTTCTGCATCTCAGGCCACACGTCCACCTCGCACGGCTGTCCATCTGCAACTAGGCCTTCCCACCTCTTCACCAAATCCGTGCAGCACTGGGCGAAAGCAGGTAACATCCGCTGGAAATAGAAGGTAGAAAATTATCAACGCATGCATTTTACATCCTGTATATATGTAGCTGTAATGTAATCTTGGCGTCGTTAAGGTAACACTGCATTGGCAAATGTTCATGTCAGCAGCAATTTCACCTTGAGTTTCTCGAGATGGAACGCGGGGTTGATGATCCTGCGGTGCTTGGCCCATTTCTCGCCCTCGTGGCTGCCCAGGCCGTTGTGCAGCATCCTCTGAAGCCTACCGAACTTGAGCTTCTCGTAGTGGCCAAACTTGTTGGACAGGACCTCTCGCACCAGCTCAGGCTTGGTGATGGTCACCCTTGGCACTGGCCCGAACCAGGTGATCGACGTCTTGCCTGTCATTGTCAGCCACGCATTTTCAGTCATATCCTTGTTAGTGGGTGGCTTGGTGGTGTATGTGCCACTATTTCCGCCTTGTTTACATTCCAAGTTTTTTCACTCTCTCTCCATCACATTAAATCTTTAGACACATGAAGTATTAAATGTAGATAAAAAAATAACTAATTACACAGTTTGATTATAAATTACGAGACGAATCTTGAGTCTAGTTAGACCATGATTGGACAATAATTGTCAAATACAAACGAAAATACTATAGTGTCAAATATTAATTCTCAACCATCATCTAAACAAGGCCTTCGTTTTCTGGCTGAGGACAGCTGTTGCAGATAAAGTACGATCGAAAACAACCGACAGCAACCAGTGAAGGAAGAATGCAGGACGACATGATGGAAGTCTGGTCATCATCAGAACAAGAGGATCACACACATTATCGTTGGAATTATTAGGGCCTGTTTGGCACAGCATAAGCTGTTGTGAGCTATTTTTTTTTGTCAAACATTATTTTTAGAACAGCTTCATAGATAAAGTTGTTTTTCTTCTCCTCTCATAAAGAGATGAGTTGGAATAAAGATAAAAAGTAGCTTTTCCTAGCTTTATCTGACACAAGTGGGCCCCAGTCTTTGTACGTCTCCGATTTGTCCTCAGAGCAGGTTGCGTGGAGTGCGGAGAAGAGGTTGAGCTGGACGCGAGTTGTAACACCCTCGGTGTTACGCCTTAAATCACTTACTAAAACATGTCATAAGCATCATGTCTAAATGTTATTGCATGTGATAATATGAACAAGTAAAGCATTGTAATTCAAACGAAAAGTCATTTCGCGACTGAGGGAATTAGCAAGTAAGGATATTCACGAATTTTTATTGAACAAGAACACTATAGAACATGTAGGTGACGTTGAAATAAAGTTGGGAGTGCAAACTTTGTAGAGGGAGATGAAATACTTGCTATTGAAAAACGATATGGCTAAGTGGTATTTCTAATAGCTTAGAAATGCAAGCTGAAATAGAGTTGATTCAAGACTTAGAGAAAATTTCACGTTGGGAACAGCTTGACATAACCATGTTTGTCAATTTATTTAGGAAAATTGGGTTAGGGAGTGAAGGGGTGCTTTAGCTCGGTTTAGTAGACCTATGTGCCAACTTGGGGGTGGAAGAGGTGGTTTGGAGGTTGGAGTAACAGTTTAGGAATTTTTCATGCTTTAATAACTGTGCATGTATTGTTCCCAGCCGCCGCCTCTTTCTGAGTGCGGTCACCGGGCCGGGCGAGCTCAACGTCGAGGCCCTGGCGCACGCACTCGCGCTGCCACGCGTGGCTGGCCGTCGCTGCTGCTGCCCCCATGCCAGCTGCCGCGCCCATGTGTCCCTGCGCCCGCTGCCCCAACGTCACGGCGCCGATGCGTAGGCGCGCGTGCACCCTGCGCGTGGCAGCCTGTTGCGCGCCCGTCACTGCCTCTGCTGCCACTGCCGTCGCATCCCCTTGCTGCGCACTGCCCTGCACCGCACCACATGCTTCCGCACGCTACGTTGCTGCACGCCAATCACTGTGCCATGGCCCCGCACAGCGCTGCGTTTCTGGCTCGCCTAGGCTTCGCACGCGCACAGCCGAGCCATCGTCGCCTCGTCATTAATGGCGTTGAGGCACGTGGGCCGCACCGGCCGTGGGGGTGTGCCCGTCGGCTTGTGCTTGGGCGTGGGGTGTTCCCATCGCGCCATCAGCGTCACACTAAGCCACGCTGAGTCGCGGCCGCGTCCCCACTATCGTCCGTTCCCTCTCTGCCCACACCCCTGCCCCACCGTCGTTGCGCCATTCCTGTGTGCCTGGGGCGAGACGTCATGTCCCACCATTCATTGCGCCACTGCTTCCCCACCACACCCTCTTCGGCTGCCCACCCGCTTTGATTGTGGCTTAGTCGAGCCCCAATTTGGAGCGGCGCCCGCCACCGCGCTGTTAATACCCATCCCCCCGTGTTATGGTCAGCCACCGCACTGAGCCCCCGGTAAAATCGACTGCACCTTTAGCTCTGCCCTGAGCCTCTTTGCGCCGTGTGCACGCTAGCCACAGCCCTGGGCCGTCTCCTCGCCGTGGACGTGGTTGTGCCATTGCGGCCGCCGGTCACCCCCACCGTGCGCATGTGGCCAGCTTCGCTTAGGTTGGCTCTGGCCGAGCTAGCACCCCGAATAAGTCTCAAGTGAGTCGTCATTGCTCGCCTGCCCCCCCTATCGCCTTGTGGTTGCGGCGGCTCACCGGAACGCCTTTGTCGTTGCCGTAGGATCCACGCCGGCGTGGCTAGGCCATGCTACGACGTCCTGGCCCTTGTTTTCACCGCCCATCGATTCGCGTCGGCGTCTAGGTGAGCACCGGTCCCTTAAATAGGGCGGGGAAGGTACTGGTTGGCCGACGGGGGTCGCTAGTGCCATCGACCGCAGCGCTGGCGTGTGCGGCAGGGCGAGGACCTCTCTGTTGCGAAGGAGAGAAGGAGCGAGAGTTTTGTTGCAAAGTCGTAGTCTGTTGAAATAGTGCACATAGTGTTAGTAGTATTATCGGAGAACGCGAGGGCATTTTTGCAAGTTGGTCGGCGCACGCGCGGGCTCCCCTTCGCGGGCCATTTGCGCGCATGGGCCGCGCCTTGCGTGGGCCAAGTTGGGCCATGGGGAGGGAATCGTTTTCCTTTTTAAGGATTAGAAATAGCATATTATTTTATGTTGTAAGTAGAACTTTGGAAAAAGCATATCGATTCGAGCAGGTGTCCAAAAATTGTGAAACTAATTTTGTTAGGTTCCTAAAATTATGCTCTATCTGTTAGTGAATTTAGTTTATATATATATATTTGTTGATACCAGTGGCTATTAAATCATTTGCAAGTGTTTAGTATTGTTTATATTAGTATTTGTAGGAATTTTTGTGGCAAATTGGTAATAGCTTTGACCATGAAATTTTTACGGTAGATTTATTATATTATTATGTGCTCACTGTAATTTTTGTAGCCTTAGAATAGGTTGAGAAATATGGTAGCTCAATACTCCTTGTTGTAGTATCTAGGGAATCGTTAATAAGAGTAAGAATATATTTTAGTTGCTAAGTAGCACTTGTAGGTGAAACCCTACTGGTTTGAGGGGAATGATGATTAGCTCGATATCTTAGTCATTAGAGCTAACTTAGTGGCTTAGTAGATGTATTCTTATTTTAAGAACTGCTGTTGTCTTAATTTTGAGTGTTGCATCGTCATTGCATGCATGTAGAGAACGAGTTGGTGGAGTTCGTGACCGCTGGCGAGCAGGAGTACGAGGAGGTGATTAAAGAGTTCGAGGAGGAGATCCTCGTGTAGGAGGAGGTCCCAGAGCCGCCACTAACTGACTGAGCTGACACCGCGCCTGCCTAAGGCAAGCCCTAGTGCATAACCCTTATTTTGAATAAGCACTGAATATATATGTGTTATGTGCATTTACGTTACAGACATTTTATGGAAACTACATGCATAGATAACCTACCTATGTGTCCTACTAGCATAGGTCGAGTAGTTGCTATGCTTAGGCTATCGGTAGCGTGAGTAACATGTCGTTACTCACAATAGGTGATTATTATTATCACTCATGATAAAATGGTGAAAGGAAATGGAGATCGGGCAGGGATATGGTACGGGTATTGGTGGGTGTAAGGGGTTGTGTCCCGCGGCCAACGGGGCGTAGCTTGGTTACACTATTTTCCCTATCCATGTCGGTTAAGGACCGTCCGTTGCATTGGATTCTAGTCAGGTCACAAACTTATTATCCTAAGCACATACTTGTTTATGGGAGCAGGGAAGGCCCATTGCTCTCTTGTCGTGGGTTCCGGCTCTTTCTGGACTGACGGATTGGAGGCAGGGATGGTGGAGGTCTAAGCACCACACTGAGTCCGGGACTCAGGTGTGGGGGCTTGGAGTCCAAGTTTGGACGGGAACCTGGACCCCTTGACAGGAGAGTGAAGGGTTGGTCCTGCTTGTGCCTGGGGTACAATCGGGGCATGTGTTTTGGGGTACCCAGCTGGGCACACTGATTCATGAATCACCGGATAATCCGATACGACTTGCCTACGATCTAGCACCATAGTAAGAACTAGAAGATGAAAGGTGGTGAAAATGATCTGATTGCTCAACTCTTGCTTAAAAGTAGAACATGTGCTTACATAGAATGGTTAGTTAATGAACTAATCATGACTACTAATAAAACACATACATAAGGATTCACTACTAGTATTGCTTTTTGCAAAAAGGAAACCCAACAAACCGTAAAGCTTATCATATCCTTTGGAGTCGGGAAATTATTCCCACTAGGCGGTTAAGTCTTGCGAGTACATTGTATACTTAGGGTTTATTTACCCCTATTGCAGGTGCAGCTTGAAGAGTAGCTGTTGGGTGGAGGATTCTTCTGGTGGGCACAGACGGATCCTTGTATTCTACCGTTAGATGGTTATTGTAATTCCACTGTTTAAATTCCACACTCTGTACTTAGTATTGTAATAATGTATTTTTAAGAACTCATTGTATGAAATGGACTAAGTATTGTAAACTCGTTCTCATTATTGGATCCTGGAGAAAAAACATGGATTATTTGAGTTCTCCCTTGGGGTGAGCTCGATGGAACCGTCCGATGCAGCTTGTTTACGGGGTGCTTAGTGTCTGGTGGAAGACGGGCGCCTCCGGAAGCATGCTATTTCGGGCGGTTCTGCCACAGGTGGTATCAGAGCCAATAATGAGTCTACAAGTTTCATAACTCTTTTCAAAACCTAAAATTTGACCAACAAAAGTTTTGCGAAAAGTAGGATGCAATAAAATTATGTAAATAAGTATAAGCCCTAGCAATATGGTCTATCTAGGATAGCGGCACTGGTTTTATCTAATCAATTTTCTACAGGTACACTAACTTACGCTGCGTAAGAATCATTTAGCAAGCGGAAAGTGAGTGTGCGATGTGCCAAAAATTTTGCGAATGCCGCTATATTCTGGCTTGAGTGAACG